GACTTTGGCCCAAAAGCAAGGTGCTGGCTGCTGAAGCTGCATCCTGTCAGATCCTCAAAATCTGGAGGAAAGCAAGAGTCATACCCATCTTGAAACCAGGCAAAGACCGTAATGATCCAAAAAGCTATAGACCAATCTCCTTGCTGTGCCATCTTTACAAAGAGACTTATTCTGAATAGAATCATGGAAAAAACAGACCCATTTATGATACCACAGCAAGCTGACTTCAGGAAAGGCAAAAGCTGGACACCACAAGTGTTGAACCTGACTCAGCACATAGAAGATGGTTTTGAAAGGCAGCAGATTACAGGAGCTGTCTTCATAGACCTGTCAGCAGCTTATGACACTGTAAATCATCGCCTTCTCCTGAGGAAAATTTATAATATCACAAAGGACTCACCCGCTTTATAGAAATTCTGCTACAAAACAGGAGCTTTTTTGTTGAACTCCAGGGCCAGAGAAGCAGATGGCGAAACCAGAAGAACAGCCTGCCTCTGGGGAGTGTGCTTGCTCCATCTATGTTCAACATTTATACAAATGATCAACCACTGCCAAAAGGTACAGAGAGTTTCATCTATGCCAAAGGTCCTCAAACTAAGGCCCAAGGGCCAAATACGGCCCTCCAAAGCCATTTACCCGGCCCTCACTCACGGTCAAACTTAGTCTGAAACAACTTGAAACCACACAACAACAACAACAACAACAATCCCACACTTCCCATTGAAATACTAATAAGTTTATATTTGTTAAAATTGTTCTTCATTTTAATTATTGTATTGTTTTAAAGTGTTTTTTGCACTACAAATAAGATATGTGCAGTGTGCATAGGAATTTGTGCATGTTTTTTCAAATTATAATTCGGCCCTCCAACAGTTTGAGGGTCTGTGACATGGTCCTCTGTTTAAAAAGTCTGAGGACCCCTGATCTATGCTGACGATTGTGCCATCACCGGTCATGCAGGGGGCTTTGAGATGGTTGAACAGAACCTCTCCAAAGCTTTAGATGCTTTTACTGCCTATTACAGGGAAAACCAGCTGATTCCTAATCCATCTAAGACACAGATACATGCTTTTCATCTTAAGAACAGATAAGCATCTCGAGTTCTGAGGATTACCTGGGAAGGAATTCTATTGGAGCATTGCAGCACACACAAATACCTTGGAGTTTCCCTGGACCATTCTCTGACCTACAAGAAGCACTGTCTGAATATCAAGAAAAAGTAGGCACTAGAAACAATGTCATACAAAAGCTAACTGGCACAACCTGGGGATCACAACCAAATTCACTGAAGACATTTGCCCTTGCGCTTTGCTACTCTGCTGCTGAGTATGCATGCTAAAACCTGGCTCTTAATGAAACATGTCGCATTATCACAGGCTGTCTGCGCCCTACACCACTGGAGAAATTTCACTGTCTAGCCTGTATTGCACCACCTGACATCCGCCGGAAAATAGCAGCCAATAATGAAAGCACCAAGGCAGTGACATCTCTGGCCCATTCCCTGTTCGGTTATCAGCCAGCACGCCAATGGCTTAAATCAAGAAATAGTTTTCTAAGATTTACAGAGATAGAAACCCAGCACCTCATGGCTGATACCAAATGAGAGACTATCTCCTGGGCACACAGAAGACTGGGCAACTTGGAAGGCGCTGAACAGACTGCACTCTGGCACCACGAAATGCAGAGCCAAGCTTAAGAAATGGGGCTACAAAGTGACATGCGAGTGTGAAGAACAAACTATAGACCACCTATTACAATGCAGCCTGAGCCCTCCCACGTGCACAATGGAGGACCTTCTTATAGCAACACCAGAGACACTCCAAGTGGCCAGCTACTGGTCAAAGGACATTTAATAAAATACCAAGTTTTAAAACTTTGTGTTCTCTCAAATATATTAGTTTGCTTCTGATACGATAAATAAAAAATAAATATCAGTATCAACTTTCATCAGTGAGATAAACTACCTTGTAAATACACTAAATCTCTTTTCTCTGAGGCTGTTGTGGGACAGCTAGATGGGGACATGACAAAAGTGGCATAAAAGACATGATGAGGATGTATTTGTTCTCATTTGGAACATGTCCAGGTCGAAACTACTTTGGACAAGCCATCCATATGTATATTAAAATACTCTTTGTCTGAGCATTTAATGGAGCAGTTCCAATTCAAGGAAAATTCAGGAGAAACTGGAGTTACTCCTGTCATCTACATCTCCAGGTATTTTTTAGAGCGGCAAAAGTTGCAGATATGTTATTGAAGTTACAGGCGAAACATGCTAAATCTTTGCAACTTTGCATTTTCTGGCAGCAAGCTTGGATCCTGAGCTTCGTGAGTCATGCAATAAATAGGGTCAGAACATGCATCCCCTAAACTCTTCCTCTTTTGAAAGAAAATGGCATGTACTTATGTTCCACAAGACTGCTTTTTAAAAAGAGTGTTGGTGGATGGGCAGAAAGGAACTACGTTCAAAACTGGTGGTAATTGCCAGGAAACTCTGGAATATTTTTCTTGTGAGTTGTCAAAGGGCAATGATGAGTCACAATGGAGGAGCTGAGAGAGGCCTCTGTCTCCCTCATTCTCCTTTGCCCGCAAGCCAGTCCTTCCACTTTAATCCAGGCTTGCAGATATTGTTATTGCCGCCTGCCCTCAAGTCCTGTATGTCAAAACTATCATTTGTTCAGGGGTGTGTGTGTGTTGTCTTTGTCTTCCTTTGGGGCTGAGAGTATGTGAGTTGCTCAGGATCACAACTGGGGTCCCCAAACTAAGGCCTGTGGGCCAGATGCAGCCCTCCAAGGTCACTGACCCTGCCATTGCTTTAAACTTAGGGCTGCCCTCTAAGTCTGAAACGACTTGAAGGCACACAACAACAACAATCCTAATAAACTTGACTATGTCATCAGTCAAAAGCAGGCTCACACTTCCCACTGAAATACATTTATGTTGGTTAAAATTATTCTTCATTTCAAACATGGGGTTTTTTTGGGCTACAAATAACATATGTGCAGCATGCATAGGAATTCATTTGTGTATTTTTCAAACTACAGTCCAACCCACCAACTTACTGAGGGACTGTGAACCTTCTCCCAGCTTTAAACGTTTGGAGAATTCATGCAGTTTGATACCATTTTAGATGCTGTGGCTTCATGTTATGGATAGAGTTGTATTTTGATGAGGCATCAGCACTCTTTGTCAGAGAAGGCTAAGGACATATTATTAGAACTACTGGGCGAGGCAGCATAACTTCCTTTTTAAAAATGCACACTATTCAGTCGGTTGAAGACGTAGCGGAGTGCTAGTGGTCTCGTTTGAGAGGCAGGAGTATCAAGTTTTGTCCTGTCACAGTTCAGTCTCCATCATGCGTTGTAACAGTGAGGAGCGTGTTTTTGCCATTGAGGCCTACTTTTCGAGTGGATTTGGAGTGGCCGGCCCGCTCTCCAGATTTGGCCCCTTGTGATTTTTTTCTATGGGGTTTTTGAAATCCCGTGTTTATGTGAACCGTTCAAGGATCCTACAAGATTTGAAGGCCAACATCCAGGAAGAAATTGCCAACCTAACACCCGCTATGCTGGCAAGTCATGACAAATGCCAGAAATTGGTTTACTCAATGTATGGAGAATGGAGAATGGGGGATGTCACCTACTTAATTCGATCTTTAAAAGTAAAACAAAACTTTAGGTATGTGCCTACATTATTTTTTTTTCCTGATTCATACAATGGGCTTTATTAAGTTTTGAAAAAAGGAAGTTATGCTGCCTCACCCTGTACAATACCTATAGTTTAATATTATTGAGCCTGAACTGTTCAAGTGGTTTCAAACTGCATTAATTCTGCAGGATAGTTTCGAATCCTGATCTCCAGAGTCTGAAACTAATATCCACACTGCAGAATTACAGTGCTCTGCCACTTTATCTGCTCGACAGATGGGCTCGACAGATGGGCCAAAACTAACAAGAGATGGGCCAAAACTGTCAAAATGAAGTTCAACAGTGACAAATGCAAGATACTCCACTTTGGCAGAAAAAATGAAATGCAAAGATACAGATTGGGTGACGCCTGGCTCGAGAGCAGTACGTGTGAAAAAGATCTTGGAGTCCTCGTGGACAACAAGTTAAACATGAGCCAACAATGTGATGTGGCGGCAAAAAAAGCCAATGGGATTTTGGGCTGCATCAATAGGAGCATAGTGTCTAGATCTAGAAGTCATGCTACCCCTCTATTCTGCTTTGGTTAGACCACACCTGGAATATTGTGTCCAATTCAGGGCACCACAATTCAAGAGAGATATTGACAAGCTGGAATGGGCCCAGAGGAGGGCGACTAAAATGATCAAGGGTCTGGAGAACAAGCCCTATGAGGAGCGGCTTAAGGAGCTGGGCATGTTTAGCCTGAAGAAGAGAAGGCTGAGAGGAGATATGATAGCCATGTATAAAATATGTGAGAGGAAGCCACAGGGAGGAGGGAGCAAGCTTGTTTTCTGCTTCCTTGGAGACTAGGACGTGGAACAATGGCTTCAAACAGAGGCTGGATGGCCATCTGTCAGGGGTGATTTGAATGCAATATTCCTGCTTCTTGGCAGGGGGTTGGACTGGATGGCCCATGAGGTCTCTTCCAACTCTTTGATTCTATGATTCTATGACACTAAATCATTCTGGGATTTGCAGTTCTGCAAGGGACGGTATTTACCTTTCTCCGTCAGAGTGCTTGGTGCCACAATAAACTGCACATCCCAGCATTTTACAGCAGTGAGCCCTGACAGTTAGTGGTGTCAAATGGTAAAACTCTACTGTCGTTGATAACGCACGGTAAAAAGAAATGCTTCCCGGCTCCCTTTCAGGGGCGTGTCAGCCAGGAGGCGCCAGGCAGGAGACAAGGGCTGGGAGGGGCGCATGCGCTCTGCTGCCATCGGTCAGGGACCCCTGCCTGGAAGGGGATCTGCCGCCTCCTGCCCGCCAGGCACATTCCACTGAGGGAGGGGAGCCTCTTCCGGAGCCTCTACTCACCGTGCTCAGGAAGGAACCCATGGCGCCTGCTCCTGCTGCTGCTGCTTCTTCCGCTGGCCACAAGCTGAGGAAGACCGTCCGCTGGCCCGCTGCGAAGCAATCGAAGCCTCCTGGCCCCACCCACTCAGTCCCAGCCTCCTTTCTCCCCCGAGTTTGCGCCTCTGTTCGCCTCAGCGAGCTGTTCGTCACGATGATTGGCAGGAAAGCGGGCTAGTAGCGTCTCCGCCCTCGCCAGCCAATAGGTACAGGAGGAGGAGGAGCCTTGAGGCCGCTTCGGCCTGATTAGCTACTGGATGGGAAGGCGGGTTTGGAATAGAGGGCAGGGAGGGTTTAGGCAGAGGAGGGATTGCTGGGAGCTGTAGGCTGACTGACTAGTCCCGCCCTAGGTGTGGTTTGGCTGCAATTTAGTGGTCAGGGGGATGTTTGTGTCTTCTTGTGTTTAAATGTGGTTAGAGTCTTCTTGGAGATAGATGCCAGCAGTATATTTATTTCGGCTTTGTTTAGTGCAGCAGTCGCCCTTGCGTTGTGCTACTCTGCTGCTGAGTATGCTGAGTATGCATGCCCAGTGTGGAACACATCTCACCATACTAAAACAGTAGATGTGGCTCTTAATGAGACATGCCGCATTATCACGGGGTGTCTGCGATCACGGGGTGTCTGCGCCCCACACCACTGGAGAAATTACACTGCTTAGCCGGTATTGCACAACCTGGCATCCGCCGGGAAGTAGCAGCCAATAGTGAAAGGACCAAGGCAGAGACATCTCCAGCTCATCCCCTGTTTGGGTATCAGCCAGCACATCAACGACTTAAATCTAGACATAGTTTTCTAAGATCTACAGAGACACTCGCTGGAACACCTCAGCAAACGAGAGTCCAAAAGTGGCAGGCTGAAACCCAGCACCTCAACCAATGGCTGATACCAAATGAGAGACTCCCTCCCGGGCACACAGAAGACTGGGCGACTTGGAAGGCACTGAACAGACTGCACTCTGGCACCACGAGATGCAGAACCAACCTTCAGAAATGGGGCTACAAAGTGGAATCCACGACATGCGAGTGTGGAGAAGAGCAAACCACTGACCACCTGCTGCAATGCAACCTGAGCCCTGCCACACATATATACAGTTCTTCCTGATGGATTCTGATCCTTGCTCCACGACTAGGCATCTGAATCCTAAATTTACAAACAAATGTCTTTTCTCTTGTTTGAGTTACATTTTATTCTCATTATTACCATGTCTTTTCAAAGAAACATAGAAGCATTTTACCTCAACAAAGACTCTGACCAGCTCTTTTTCATGGTTGCTATCCTGCTTTTTCAACTTGTGCTCTGTCTAGTTGGAAGATTTTTTTCCAGCAACATTGACATTATGGGGGTGATGAGAAAGGTCTAATGAAAAACAGACTTTTAGTATCAGGCTGTAACAGCATATTTACAATAAACAAAATGAAATTATATAAAAGCTGGGAAATATTCCAGAAGATCCTATTGCAACTGTGTGTGCATACCTACAATAGGCATGGTAAACAGCAGCTGTGCCCAGATTCCTTTGCTTAGTGTGTATGAACAGGAAACAAAGTGAAAAGGGAGAGCACATACGCCTAGCATGATAAATAAGTGTTGATCTGTATGTTTGATCATCAAATGAAAATCATATGAAAAGTGGAGAATTATGAAAGAAAAAGGAAATTCCTAGATGCATTTTGGGAGAAGCCTTCAGATCTTCTCAAGAAATTTCAATGTTTTGTTTATTTCTGCTGGGCACTTCACATGTATACTGTATATTGTAAATTTATAAAGTGGGTGCTATAAACAATATCATACGAATGCTGACTGGCACAACCTGGGAATCACAAACAGACACAGTGAAGACATCTGTCCTTGCGCTATGCTGAGTACGCATGCCCAGTGTGGAAGACATCTCGCCACTCTAAAACAGTGGATGCGGCTCTTAATGAGACATGCCGCATTATTACAGGGTGTCTGCGCCCTACACCACTGGAGAAATTACACTGTTTAGCTGGTATTGCACCACCTGACATCCGCTGGGAAGTGGCAACCAATAGTGAAAGGACCAAGGCAGTGACATCTCCAGCTCATCCCTTCTTTGGGTATCAGCCAGCATGTCAATGACTTAAATCAAGAAATAGTTTTCTAAGATCTACAGAGACACTCGCTGGAACACCTCAGCAAGTGAGAGTCCAAAAGTGCCAGGCTCAAACCCAGAACCTCAACCAATGGCTGATAGCAACTGAGAATTTCCCTCCTGGGCACACAGAAGACTGGGCGACTTGGAAAGCGCTGAACAGACTGCACTCTGGCACCACGAGATGCAGAACCAACCTTCAGAAATGGGGCTACAAAGTGGAATCCACGACATGCGAGTGTGGAGAAGAGCAAACCACTGACCACCTGCTGCAATGCAACCTGAGCCCTGCCACATGCACGATGGAGGACCTTGCGGCAACACCAGAGGCACTCCAAGTGGCCAGCTACTGGTCAAAGGACATTTAATTTAATACAAACTTTGTGGGTTTTTTAATCTGTTTGTTTGTTTTGTTCTGTTAGAAATGTAATACAATGGTCTGGTTGCCCCTGACACAATAAATAAAAATTGTAAATTTTGAATAAACTGTTTCCTGAATAATATATATATATATATATATATATATATATATATATATATATATAAAAATCTACTCCTATTTTTCCAATTTATTCCTCTGGCATCAATTTTTCTGTTAAAATACTAACACCCAATAATACATCTAATTTGATAAATCAGATATTCTTGTATTTGTTTAATATACAGTCAGTCTTTTTTCAAGAAAGGCTCACATGTCTTTACACTAATGTACAAAGCATGGGAAATAAACAAGGCAAACTCCAGCTTTTAGCACACTACAATTATGATGTCATAACGATTGCTAAAACCTGATGGGATGACTCCTATTGCTGGAATCTAGACATTGAAGACTATAACCTCTTTAACAGAAATGGAACAAAGGGGAGAGGAGGAGAAGGAGCCTTATATGTGAAAAACAGTTACGTCGCAGAAGAGATGCAAGACTGCAATCTGGAAAACTAGCTTGAAAGCATCTGGATAGGAATCAAGGAAACCAGGACTCAAAAAGATCTCATTGTGGGTGTCTACTACAGACCACCGATACAGGATGAAAAACTTGATGAAGTTTTCTGTCAACAGTGGACTAAACAGGCAAAACAAACTCGGCCAAGAGTACAAAGTCTAACAAATTCCTTGCTTGCCTTACAGACAATCTTATGGTCCAGAAGGAGATCGAAGAGGCAACAAGGGTATCAGCTACTCTCGATCTCATCCTAACAAACCCGGAGGACCTGATCAATGCAGTCTAAGTGGTCGGATCCCGAGGCGCAATTGACCTTGTGCTCCTGCAGTTTGCGATACAAAGGAAGATAAACTAAGACAAGTGAAATCCACATTCTGGATTTTAAGAGAGCTGACTTGCAAAAAATGAAGGAAATACTGATCAGTATTCCATGGACGCTGATACTAAAAGGCAATTACAGATGGATGGGAGGTTTTCAAGATTTTAATACTCAAGATGCAATTGCAAACAGTGCCAACAAAGAGAAAAAATCAGACAAGTGCAAAGAAGCCAGAATTGATGTTCAAAGAACTTCTAACTGGGCTAAGACTCAAAAGAGACATGCACAAGAAGTGGAAAAGGGGAGAGATCACAAAAGAAGAATTCAAACAAATAACCAACTCCTGTAGGGAAAAGGTTTGCAAGGCTAAAGTGCAAAATGTGCTCAAGCTTGCCAGGGACATTAAAAAACAAAAAGGGCTTCTTTGCTTACGTCAGTAGAAAAAGGGATATGCCTGCCTCTTCCATCGTTCTTTTCCCTCCCTCCCTCCGCCTCTGCCCTGACCATCCCCTCCCTCCATTCCAACTGTCTAATAATAAAATAATAATAATATAATAAAGGTTTTGAAGAGCAAATTAAATGGCAGAAAATACGATCAAGGCTATCAACACCTGGGCCATCCCCATCATTAGATACACTGCTAGAATTGTGAACTGGACACAAGCAGAGCTGGGTGACCTGGACAGAAAAATAAGAAAACTGATGACAATCCACTACTCATTACACCCATATAGTGATGTCGATAAACTTTGTTGTTGTTCATTCGTTCAGTCGTCTCCGACTCTTCGTGACCTCATGGACCAGCCCACGCCAGAGCTCCCTGTCGGCCGTTACCACCCCCAGCTCCCTCAAGGTCAGTCCAGTCACTTCAAGGATGCCATCCATCCATCTTGCCCTTGGTCGGCCCCTCTTCCTTTTGCCTTCCACTTTACCCAGCATAATTGTCTTCTCTAGGCTTTCCTGTCTCCTCATGATGTGGCCAAAGTACTTCAACTTTGTCTCTAGTATTCTTCCCTCCAGTGAGCAGTCGGGCTTTATTTCCTGGAGGATGGACTGGTTGGATCTTCTCGCAGTCCAAGGCACTCTCAGAACTTTCCTCCAACACCACAGTTCAAAAGCATCTATCTTCCTTCGCTCAGCCTTCCCTAAGGTCCAGCTCTCACGTCCGTAGGTTACTACAGGGAATACCATGGCTTTGACTAGGCGGATCTTTGTTGCCAGTGTGATGTCTCTACTCTTTGCTATTTTATCGAGATTGGACATTGCTCTCCTCCCAAGAAGTAAGCGTCTTCTGATTTCCTGGCCACAGTCTGCATCTGCAGTAATCTTTGCACCTAGAAATACAGTCTGTCACAGCCTCCACATTTTCTCCCTCTATTTTCCAGTTGTCAATCATTCTTGTTGCCATAATCTTGGTTTTTTTGACGTTTAGCTGCAACCCGGCTTTTGCGCTTTCTTCTTTCACCTTGATTAGAAGGCTCCTCAGCTCCTCCTCGCTTTCGGCCATCAGAGTGGGGTCATCTGCATATCTGAGGTTGTTAATGTTTCTTCCAGCAATTTTCACCCCAGCTTTGCATTCATCCAGCCCCGCACATCGCATGATGTGTTCTGCATACAAGTTAAAAAGGTTGGGTGAGAGGATGCAGCCTTGCCGTACGCCTTTCCCAATCTTGAACCACTCTGTTGTTCCGTGGTCAGTTCTTACTGTTGCTACTTGGTCCTTGTACAGATTCCTCAGGAGAGAGACAAGGTGGCTTGGTATGCCCATCCCACCAAGTATTGCCCAGAAAAT